TCACTTTTCACTTTGGAAATAGGATTGTGTCACTTTGATTCACAGACAATATACATACATGTATACAAACTACAATATGATGAATGTTTGCTTTGAATATCTGCCAGTAAATCAAAATATCATTTAAAATACCAGAATGAAATATTCTTTAAAAAAAAATAAAAATATGGAATGATATGCCAAATGAACAAAAAAGGTAAACATCATGAATGTAAACAATCATAAAGTTCCGAAAAACAAAGTCTCTATCGCAAATAATAGCGTTTGACAACCCGAACTTGTCAATACTTTCATCTTTTTTTCATCACTGAAACAATACCCAATACAGTCAAACCTGTATTAAGAGACCTGCCAACGGAGAAAGGACAAAAAGTCACATATGACAGGTGGTCTCTTAATACACATAGCATATTTTCGGCAGTGTTCAAATACCGGAATACAATGCTGAAAATATCACACGTGTATATTAAAGTATATTATAACACCCGTTGTTTATTTCCACTTTTTAATAGTTTCTGCTCAACATTAAAATTCTTTTACAATTGTCCTGTTAAGAAATAAAAATTTGCTTGACCTGCGCATATGTCATTTGATTATTAAGAAATATTGTGAACATCTGAAAATATTAATATTTTTTCATACAGTATAACAAAAAGCTGCAATGTTTTTTTTCTAATAATAGTTTCGTCTGTTTAACATATTACTAATATAAGAATTAAAACTGTATCATGATTTTTGTTATGCATTTGTATCAAATTAAATTACATTCATGACTGAAATATTTATTTAACCTAATTGATTTTTTTTCATTACTGAACTATCTTGTCTAATTGCCTGTTTATGATCAGGTATTTCAATCACTTCAATTATCACCTGGTGTTGGTGCTACCTTGGATGTGTTTACATGTACATACCCATTGGTAACACAATACATTTAAATAAACATCTAGGATTTAGTTACTTGTTAACTTAAGTTATTCAGGCAGATTTCGTAGCCGAATATCCATTTGGCCTCTCAAGTATGAAATGATATCGGGATCGACATCGGACGTCTATTTTTCAAAATGGCTTTCGATCAATAGACAGAAAAAACGTGATTTTATGTTTTAGATTGAAATGCTTATTCAATAAATATCAAAGCGTCAGTAAAAATATTTATTTCAAAATGTCCATTTATTCGCAATACTCACATTATAAAATTATTATATGAAGTAAAAGCGTGTTTGGAGAAGTTTTAAACCAAAAAAATTGCATGAAATTACAAAAAAATGGTCAGGAATGTCATGTCGTTGGTCGCACTAGACAGGTGGTCGTTTAATAGAGGTAGAATATATAAGTAAAAGCGTTGGGGGTATTTTTAGGGTCACATGTGACAGTGAGTGGCTTAATACAGTTGGTCGCTAGGGCAGTTTTGACTGTAGTTCAGCTTGGACAACCATTAACTAGTATCGGTCCTTTCAGTACTTTGATTTAAAAGTCAAAAATTAAAGAATGTTCACTTTCCCATGGTTACCATGGCAACAATCATTTATTTAAAATTTTTAAATGCGATTCGCACAACTTCAATTATTAATCATTTATATAAGAAAGTTTCATGATGAATGTTCAAAGGACAAGAGAGAACAATTCTGAACAAAATTCGATATTTTTCACACGTTTCCCTGCCAACGGTAGCCATTCTGAAAATGAATGACCACACAACAAAACTACAACCAGTAATCGTCTTTTGAGGAAAGTTTAGGAAGATTGCCCAAGCCATCTTTGAGAAACAACCCGGAGAACAAAAGCATGCGTACAATTGCAATATGTCGCCCCCAACTTCGGTCGGGGCGACATAATTAAGATTAATGTCACAGATGAAAAAAAATGGATTTTACAAAAAAATAAATTGCATAGCAAAAATTTCAAAATAGATCACATATCTCAATTAGTCAATTCAAATGAAATCATTTTTAATCCAAATACTAATCAATACAATTCTTATTGAGAGATATGATCTTAAAATTAATAATAAAAAAAAAATAATAATAAAAAAAGTAATTTCAATTCCACTAACATTTGTAGACAGAAAATCAATTTATGTAGCTCAAAACAAAAAAAAAATAAAATAAAATAAATTTCACAAAACAAACTACAGAAAATCTATTGAAACTGATAAATGTATCTAAATTACTGTGAATAAAGGGAAACAATTCTAGTTCACTGCAATTTGGTCTCTAGTATGTATGCACTTTACTTTTATTGAAAACTGTTCAAAAGGCAATGACAATCTTATGAATATATACACACAATAACATTAAATTTATTTAAATACAATAAATGAAATTGAAATCATAACTGAGCAGATGCAATAATAAAAATGGCAGTCTTATTCAAATATATTTCCTATAGTGTAAGCAGGCGAGAGAGATACTCTTTTTATACGGTACCCAATGCACAAAAATTTCAGTATACTTTGGTATTCACTGCAGATATCACCTACGACAGACAGACGGGAATGTAACTTAGAGCTACCCTTGCTGCTGTCACACATAATTTCATTTGTGTTTCACTTGATCAATACAGGTACATGTATGTATGTATTCAATACAATACTACATGAATTACCAGTAGAACGAGGACAGGCACATGCGTTTTGGTTTCAATTTATTTGTTCCTAATACATGTCTTTTTACAACAAAAATTACAAATTATTTGTATATTATATACTGTAAATTATATATAATTTGTTTGATCACACTAAGTATAAAAATTGCAGAGAAATAACAGAGCGATGAAATTAAAAAAAAGTAATTACATTGTACATGTGTGTTTTTTAACTCTGGAATTTTCCTTTGGATTCCTTTTTCTTCAAACGCTGGATGCTTTAAACCAATTTAATTTGTTCGAATTTGATTTAATTTTTTTAAATATATTTAAATTTATTTATTGCAAATTGATGTGTATACATGCGTTGTAAGAGCTTACTCGTACAAGCATGTGTTGAAATTACACATGCCTCTCTCCCTCTTTTAAAACATGATGTGGACATGTGTGTGTACAAACATACGTCTGGCTATGCACATCTATTTTATCTAATTGTTCCCCCGTTTGAAAAGCGGGAGGGTATATAGTAATCGGTATGTCTGTCCCTCCGTCTGTTACGTTTTTGGGTACTCATCTTTTATCCACACCTCATCTCATACCACAGAGTGAAATTTAATGAGACTTTTACAGTCCATAGTGCACGACATTTTTTTTATTTTATGATCCTTCACATATGCTGGGTTTCCTATGGCTAAATGTAGACACTGCCATTATGTATTCTTATGGGAGGCGGGAGGGGTTACATTTAGTGAGCTTGTTGCTTACAGAACCTCTAGTTTTATGTAGATGTTTGAGAAACTCATTTTGTACATAGAATTGTTCCATCTGTAAATATTGACATGTTTTATGAATAAGGAAAACCATATATTTGACCATTACATTAATAACAAAGTAGTTGAAAGTAGCTTTAAAGTCGTACTTGCATCTTATTAATTGAGAAAAATTACATTTTGCAATGAAATCATGTGTCTTCATATAAACTCAGTCTTCTTATGAGTATATGTGCAATCTTTGCAGACCCGTTCTTTACAGAATCATTTTTTATTCTTATGATATTACCTGTGAGATATTCATGCATCATCAAATGTTTGTATATACATATTGTCGAGTTTCGCAAAGACCCGACCCAGAGAAGATGAGATTTGTGATCATAACTCAGGCTGAGTGGATATTCTATTCCTTGTTGTTCTGTCAAAAGCACTGCCAGGAACTGACCATCTTTATCAATCATCTGTACAGTTTTGGTATAAGTATCACAAAGTAGAATACGTGACAGTGCATCTGTACAAATTCCACGACGTTTAAATTGTGATTCTTTTGAATTCCCGGTATTGGAGAAGCAATGTATTCCGACAGAGTCTGTCACCACTACAATCTCTGAAACATTATCAATCAGGTCAGAAACAGTCACATTTCCATTTAGGTGTTCTGTGATGTACATGGGATTAACATACAGTCCCTGTCCTGAGTCGTGTTGGAGCTCTCGTCCTTCACTGTTGTACCGACCTACCTTGGCTGTATTTGTATCCTGTCTTATCATCCCAATCAGAAAATCTCTATTTAAGGGAGAGCAAAAGATGCAGTAAGGTTTCCAGAGCTGTTCTACAACTATCTTTATTACAAAAGACATATACTTAGTTTCTGTGGAGAATTAACGAATGTTATAATCACTATTTATGTATAAAAGTTTTCCTTCTCTATTCACTGTGTGTATACAACTAATGGTATACTTATCTACAACACCATAAGGATTGCAACCATGTTTATCTGGAAAGTTAAGATATACCATACTATTGCCCCAGGCAGTATCTGATGTCACACACGAGATATGAAGAGTAACATCGATTAGAGAATGTTTTATCTTGAAAGATTTCTTACGTACTGCTAGAGACATCACTTTATATAACTGTTCATTTCTAAATTGTCTTTTTCTGGTGTTCGTACGAGGGTTGTCCCATAAAATCGTGGACAAGTTGTCTAGTTTGAAAAATAAACATCACTGCGTTCTGAAATTTTCACTACTATTTAGTATATATTTTAGTAATATACACAGCAAATTTCAAATAAATATATGCATAAATAAACAAATTATGAGATTTTATGCCATGTATTGTATCATCTTCCGCACATGGATTATAACGTCAATGTGTCTAAAACAGCGTCACGTTTTATCTTTGCTGAAAATGAAGTTGGATGAGTCCTAATTAAATCTAGGAATTTCATTGATACACATTCTTTAGTTTCCATAAACAGCCGAAGAAACAATTGGCACCCTTATGCGATCTTCTGAAGATTTATTAGTAAGTTACGGACAATATTCTCACATTCATTTAACTAAAAGAAAATCGCATATCGGCTGTCTACTGTGACAGCATCTTTTGCTATTACATAAGGAGTTTATGTTTTGTACTCCCAATGGACTCCATCAAAAAAACTTCGCTAAGAAAACTTCTATTCCATTTGTATACTTAAGATATGGTGATATTTTTATAATCTTTTTTCTTCTATGGTCATTTCAAGTCTCTAAAGGTGTCATTACAACATCGAAATAAAACTGAGCTGTTCTCCGGTGCGCCGTAACGTCATAAAACGTCGCCATTTTTCGTGTGTTGTGTTTATCACTTTCTCATTTCGAATGCTCGAAAAACTGCCAAAAATTAACCAAATGCCTTAAAGTTTTTACAAAGACTACAAAATTGATTGTGGAATTGAATTAGCATAACTTTAATCTAAATGACATGTATTTAAAACTTTTATTTTGAATTCAAACTTGTGTATTCTGTAATAAAGCCTTGGTTTTTTGACCGTGCGCCGTAGGACAATACCCCGTGCATATTCAAGCATAATAAAATCTTTATTTTTGCCTCTTTTTAAAAAAAAAATCATCATGCACTTAAATATGATAAATAAACATTTATTGAAATTTTCAGCTTAGTGCGCCCATTACTTTTGGAGAAAAACGCTTTGTCCACGATTTTACGGGACAACCCTCGTAATTATGATTCTTCCCGGAGATTTATAAATATTATCGTTGTTGATTTTTGCAGTGGGATCATGTACTGTTAACTACAATATCTCGGGAGTGTGCCTCCTCTTCAGGATACTGGTTTTCTTAGAGAATAAGAGGAATTGTATCGCTTTATTTGCTGACTTTTCAAATGGGTGTACATGAATTCTGTAAAGATTCAAAATATTTCTTCTGCTGTTGTAGTCGAGAGTGAAGCTTACAAATATCTTCTTGAATTGTATGTATTTGATCTTCCAGCTTCTCAGCGTTGATAAGCATGTTATTTCAGAGATTTGAGCCGTCTGATTAAAAACACTTCAAATCGGAATGGATTTCTGTCTGGATAGCACGATTATGTAGCAAAATCTTATTCCGGATGCATAAAGGTCTTTCTGTGTGTTGTTTCTTTTGAGTTTCATATACGGGTATTATATTCTGTGTATCATGTTCTCTGTGCTCTACATAGTTAGAACAATAAGGAAGTTTACACACAAAGCACCACATTTTACAGTACATATACTCATGTTTCTCACAAGTTTTTAGTGTCAAAAAGTTTGTACATCCTGGTTTTTGGTGCCGTAGTCTTTCAAATGTTTCTCTCTATAAAAAAGGCACACGTGATCTGTGCAAGTCATGCAATAGAATTCTGCATACCACTTATCCTTGAAGCACGTTCGTGTTTTTGAGCATGTTGGAGATTGTTCATTCATCATCCTATGATAATTCAGTCTTAGCCCATACGTGAACATAATTGTCATTGTAAGAATAGAATAAACAATGATTATGAAAACACTAGGTCAAATGGACATGCTTTTTCATTAAAGATACTTATTATGAAACCCCTTTGTAACCAACAACTAATATATCATTTTTTTCTTCAAAATTATATATTACTGCTTAATACCTCTGACAGAGAGAGAGAAAACTACATCAAAGAGAGAAATGGTTTTCATTCTAAACAATATTTGCGCATTCAAAAAATTTCAAATAAATATATATGATAGACTTATATATTATATTTTGACACCATAACCAATTGCTTTTTCGGCAAAAATGAAACTCGTAAATTGTTTTATTGGTTTTGTGTTATAGGAAAATGCTCTTGAACATCGAAATAGATTGGAAACATAAGCGCAAAATGTAGGGGATTGCGGAATATTACTACTAATGTGGAAAGTTCACGATGCAAAACGAACCTCATTCACCTGGAAGATTAAAATCATTGACAGTATCTTTAAACTTTTGCAATTCAATCTTAGCAGATTTATCTCAAACCAAATCAAATTCTTTAGACTACAAATTTAAATACTTTTATCACACAGATTTCGAAAGGAAACAGTCCTATTTGAGTAATTTGAGAGCCATGTAAAATTTGTTGAACAAGATTGATAATGTCTAAAATAGCAAAAACTCATTATTTGATGAAATCATATTTTTTTCATTCATGATAACAAAGGTATTGAACACAAATTTGTAAAAACAAAAAAAAAATTATAACGCCCCCTCCATACATGAAAATTGCACATTTAGATTTTCAAAGAAATCCAAGTTTTTAAAATATTTTACAAAAGTTTACAAATTATGCTTATTCTAAATTTTCATTTTGACACTCATCGTAAATTTGGAGTTGAATTTTGTTCCATTCATTAACCACAGTAGGAATAAATAAGACCTGTATGTTTGTGATAGACAATTTTGAAGATTATAATTTTGAGAATGTTTTGCAGAATAATGTGTAACAACGCATATGTGGAAGTGTGTAATTATGACCATTAAGAAATCAGGCACTACACCAGTAAATTAAGGTGAAGTTTGATCATTGTTTTTACTCTAGCTTCTTGTCTTCTAAAACTTAAAGAGTTTCATCTCCTTTCAAAATACACATGTAGAGTGAATTTTTGGAAGGTATTATTTCACACGTTAATGGTAATCTTACAACCAAGTTGTAAGATAAACGTGATGACTTTAACTTTAACCCTGATATTTACCCTGAGGTCCACGTAGTAAATATATAAGCGAGGTTAAACCGGATGCCATGGGCAAACGACAGGCTATGCATGCGCGAGAATGCTGGAGAGTTCGCATTTTAAGTAATTTGCCCGTAAAATAATTCGCCCTATTGGAATTAGAATATGTCATTCATTGGTAAATTGCGCTTTAATTTTAAATCCACATGTCGCATTTACATATTAATTGGCGGATCCGAATTTCCCTCATATACATATATTTTTATATACAAACTAAACTTTGATTCTATGGTACAAACTAAACTTTGATTCTATTTTTTAGCATTTCAAAATGTAGGAAGAACTTCCTGTATATAGATACATGTAACTTAACAACTTGAATGATAAACGTCATTCAACGACTAGTTCTAGCTTTTTAAAGATAGAACAGGTTTTCTCCGCCAGTTAGTTTTTTTTTTTTCATCAAGGCTCGCAACATATTTTTTTATTACCGCATGCGCGAGAACGCTGGAGAGTTCGCATTTTAAGTCATTTGCCCGTAAAATAATTCGCCCTATTGGAATTAGAATATGTCATTCATCGGCAAATTGCGCTTTAATTTTAAATCCACATATCGCGTTTACATATTAATTGGCGGATCCGAATTTCCCTCTTATACATATATTTTTTATATACAAACTAAACTTTGATTCTATGGTACAAACTTAACTTTGATTCTATGGTACAAACTAAACTTTGATTCCATTTTTAAGCATTTTAAAATGTAGGAAGAACTGTATATAGATACATGGAACTTAACAACTTGAACGAAAAACGTTATTCAACGACTAGTTCTAGCTTTTTAAAGATAGAACAAGTTTTCACCGCTAGTTAGTTGTTTTTTTTTTTTTTCATCAAGGCTCGCAACATATTTTTTTATTCCAGCAATCCAAAAACCGTTTGATAGAGGTCTACAGCAACGGTTTTTACTGTGTATGTGGGGGGAGGATCTGGAAAAAAATATGCGTGCTACAGAGCTGTGATATACGTGAATCATCAGATCTCTATTTTTCCCCTGATAGATTTATTTCGCATAAATCCGGAATAGGTGTAAACCTCATTATGGGTTAGATGTATCAAAAAAGCCCGATTTTTTAAACTGACAAAAGTCAGATAAAATTTGACAATTTTGCTTTGAGACTACAGTCAGTCATACGGAAGAAGATCATCGTAGAAAATGTGAACAAACCTACATGAATATTCACTACATCTAGAAATTTTCTTAATTGAAATTCGGTTAGAAAAACACGCATATGGTTCACGTATTGCAGTCCTTTTTTAAAGGACAGCAACTTGTTCGAAGATTTATTCCCGGCGACTTACTCACTCAGGAAAAAATAAAGTTTCTCGGGTGATCTCACTTTGATTACATAGCGACCATGGAGACGAGGATATGGGAGATAAAACATGCATACATTG